TCTTTTTATCTCTGGCTTTCTTTTTCTCTTTCATTCAACTGATAGCAATTTGTTAATTTAGAGTTGCTTTGAAGTTGCCAGGTCAGGAAGAAGATCGATATTATCTCTGCGATAAAAAGGACACTCGAGCTTCCTATGTCCCGAAAGGGCGACCGCGAGAAGGGGGATTTCGGAGTGGAGTTGAAGGTGGGGACGGGTACAGGATTGGTTTCTTCCACTTAAATCTTCAGCCGTAGAACAAAATTCGCAGATTCCTAAAGATCTCTTTGCCGAGTTTGACCCGGCCCCGAAACTTTGTTCGCGCTCGACGACTGGTAGCGGGCTTTCCAGCTGAAGAAGCGAGTCCCCGAGTGCTGAATTCACCACCGAAAAGCCTCTGCTTTGCTGCGCGAGAAAAAGCACGAATCGCGATACTTTCCCGTCGTACGATGGAGAGAGAAATATATCTATGAAGATTACGTGGCGCTCGAATGCCCAGGAGAGATGCAAGGATCATACGTTCGGAGCGGATAGATACGTTCTCCGTATCTTCCTTGAATGTTAGAAAAATCTTGGGAAAAAGATATCCCATCAAAATTATCGTTTTTTTATATCCCTTCGTGGACAGCCTACGGTATCTCAGGGGCATCGAAAGAAGGATTTGTGCCATAATCGAGAAAAGAGGATAATTCGTCTCCAAGAGGATGAGGTTACGATCGTACGTGGTCGGGGGAGGTGAGCAGAAGAGGGAGGGAGGGGGGGGGAAGAAGATGGAGAACGTTACGTTTCCATTGCGGCTTCCCCGAAAAGAACGTCGATAGACCGTAATTTTATTGCCGAAGTTACACCGCCAGTGGCCTCAAAGTTCACTCTAGCAAATATAAAGGAAGCGAAATACAACACAATTGGAAACTGTCGCCGATCTGCGCTGTTCTTACACTTCTCTCTTCTCGATTCTCTCTCAAAGAAGAAAGGAGAAAAAGATCGAATGTAAATGCTGGTTAACTTTTGCATCGACATTTAATGGCTCGTGCTTCGCGCTTAAACGCATTTTCTCGTGATTATTTTTTTTTTAACTCAACAAAAATGTAAATTGTAATTCCTGTTGTAAAAATGTTGCTATAAAAGAAAATTTTAATTACGCCGCACACATACTATCTGTTTAATGTATGAGTCTAACATATTGGTGTTTGGAAACCAGAAATGGTGTTTGGAAACGCGATGTAAAAATGATAAAGATATTCAAACGATAAAAAAAAATCGTATTACGTAAAGGAAAAAAATATGAGATACAAGAAGTAATATAAAATTATTCGTTTCTTAGAGATGTTTCTAATGACATTTATTCATCTGACTTGTTCTAAATTCTAAATGTAAATGTTTATTAATACATACGTTAGTATCGACGATTTCAGGAAAATTAATTGGAAATAGCTGTTAAATTCAATAGTCGTTGCTCAACTCTCGCGAGACTCGCCTTTCTGACCGCTGTTCAAAACTTTTGGCAAAGGGAAAAACATTTCTCACGAACGCGAAGTTTCCAGTAAGCATCGTGCGTAACGCACTTTACGTGATACGAGTACCATGAATAACGTTCTTCTCCCGTCCCTTAAGCGGCCGACAAGAAATTTCTGAGTGGAACGGCACGTCGAAGGTTTCACATTTCCATAGCGAGTTCCGAGCAGCACTGCGAAACCGGTAATTTCATTATCGAACTTCTCGCCTCTCTTTTACGCTGAAGTTCCTGGATCCCTGTAAGCATCGTAAAGACGAAGTAACGCAGATTGAAAGCTACTCCCGCTATAAGCGAGCAGTAACTCAACCGTTAAATAATAGGGAATGTTAATTTTCAAACATAGTCGAAAAGTACGGCGGACGAAGCTTGCAGTAATAAGAAATATTAAATTAGTTGCAATAATGCATATTCATGCAATAATAATACTTGGATTATAGTCTAATTACTGCTTTTGTGTTAAAAAAAAAAAAGATTTATTTTGAATTCTTCTTGAATAAATATATAAAAGTTGTTTTTATCCAACTCAGAATGTGTAGGATTAAATGCGTATAATTATCAATTAACTCTTAAACAAGATGCGCATAACTTTCCTCCTTTTTCTCCCCGCTCCATCCTCTTCAGCCAGAATCAAATTTTTTTTCTCTCTCTACATAAGCCGACACCTCATTAACATACTTACTGTACTGCGTTAATTATGACTCCGCATTTATGAAAGTACATGCACTCGCGGAGACCAACATTGTATTTTTTACGTGCAGTCCACGAGTCGCAAATCACGCAAACGATATTTCTGCATGAATTAAAGTGTTTCCGCAAATATTGAGACTAAAATTTGAAAAATGTAATATCATAATATATGAATATGATTCTTATCATTATTTTCACGTTCTTTATACCGTTTAATTTTTTTCTTTGTTTTATTACATTTATTATTCAGTCCTTAGAATTAACGTTATTAGAAATGTTAAAGTGATCTTTGCTAATCTTTAAATTTTTGAATAATTCAATAATGCAAAAGTAAAGATATTTTTTGCAATTATAACATTATAACATTAAAATCAGTTCTGTGAGATTCAATATAATTTAAAAATGTAATATAATGTAAACATTTATTGAAAAATTATATATTTCAAATGGCAGAATAAATCGATGAAAAAGGATTAGAATGATTACGAGCAAATTTATGTATATTATCCTTATCTTTGCATCGTCATAAATTATGACAAGCGCATGATAGATTACAACTGTTTAAATGGCCGGTGTAATCATTGACTTGCCCGTCGCTATCGTCAATCATTGCCACATATTGAAATATAATAACGTGCAAATGTACACAACACATGTGCTGACTCACGCGAAAAATACAGGAACATCCCTAAATTATCGCTACTCTTTTTTATCTGACAATTTGATGATCAAAATTGATGTGTTCACTCTAAATTTATAAGTTAATACTGTTTTATTGAGGGATAAAATTTTTATACATTCCTGTTTAAAAGATCTATTTTATACATTCCTGTTTAAAAGATCTATAGAAAAAGAAAGTGACGCTTTTTGGATATTCTGCGCAAAATACGCCTTTGAATACGCGATATGGTTGTCCCTTGAAATTCTAAGGCAGCTCGGCGGTTTGGCTCCTGATGGATAGCACCGCAAACACGGGCGAATTTTGCCGACGACATTTATAATTTACGTGAGTAGGAGATGGGGTGCCTGAGCCATTTAACACATACTGAGAAACACAGAACATAATTTAGTATTAACAAATGATTGTCGTTAAGAAAGATGTAAAATTGTAGAAAAGATGTTAAAAGATAAAATTTGTTATCGCGCTTCATATAAACTGTTTCAGCGAAACGATTTCAGGAATCAAAAGCTAATAAATATCGTGTGGAAACGCGTATATACGTGTATGTGTATAGAGGAATTGAAAAGTTTTAAGAAATTTTCTCTCGGAAACGGCTCGAATCAGTGTAACGTCGAAATATTAGAATGGCTCGCTTGTTTGTGAAAACGTTGGTTCAACATTGAGATTAATGCAGCAGTATTATGACACACACACACACACACACACACACACACACACACAACATGATACTTTTGCCGACGAGCACTGGTGAAAAACTTAATTGGAGAAATGAAAATAATTCGAACCAAAAATTTATAACTCTGACCAAAATAAGCATTTCAGAAATAAAATCACAACGTATGAAAGAGAACTATTTATTATACTAAAACAGTTATTGTTAAAACAAGTATAATAAATAAATATGTACATTTAAATAAACATAAAATATAAAGTTAAGGTAGTAAATACATGTAATTATGTAATTTTCAACAAAAGTTATAATTGTCAAGATACTTTCAATATTGAATAATTGAATAAATTAATAGCAATAGCCAATTATAAAAAAAATAAAACATATGAAGAAAAAAATGGAAGAACAGAAAGATAAAGATAGACAGAATTGTGGATGCAGTATTGTCACAGTTTTTTCGCGAGCTGCCGCTTCGATTACGCTTGAATTTTCGGCTTCATCATTGCACGATTTGCGTAGACATGTATGCAGGTAGGTTGGTGAATTCCAGGTGAGAGATTTCAAAAGACAGCTGGATGCTTTCACATTTATATAAATATGTATAGAGACATCAAACGTACAGAGACATTCATATATATTTTTAACTGTGTAATATATAGGAAAAACAAGAGATATAAGTTCCATATTAGAAATTGTAGTATGATGAAGTTTACGCAATAGAAAAATATTTAAATAAAACAGTTCACCCATTAAAAATTTTAAATATAACAATTTGACTTATTGAAATAATAATTAATAAAAATCAAATTACAAATCGCAATCTCTTAAATCTCTCGAATTTTTTATCGGTTATCTTTTATGATGGATTTTAGCTATATTAACGTAATATTTTGCTATATTAACGTAATATTTTGAAGATTAGCAAGATACAAATTATTGTAGTTATTATAGTTATAGCGATATAATCGATTCGCTTGCAAGCTAGCTTGAGCACGTGTATGCAATGTGCGCCCGGAATGAAAACCTGTGATGTTTAAGCGAAACTAATATTAGAACGATTGTAGCCGCGTAGTTAATAGAACGTCGGTTTCATCCCCGGGATAATGAAGCACAGCTAGAGCGAAGCGCCAACAATGTGGCGTCGATTGCATCATCGGGTTCGAACGAGAAATTGCCATTGCGTATTCACCATACTCATTTAATCCTCGAATAATGTTCTGAAATAGTAGCATCTTGGGCGAGTCAAATTTGTCCAAGTTGAAAATTCGACGTTACGTTCAAAATTTAAAAGAATTTAAAAGACTCTATTATTGATCTACAATATTGAAATAATCCATAATAATTTTAATTTCGTGCTAAAAAATACAAAGTAAAAAAGTATACATAATAAGAAAGTTATGATAAATTTTTATTTATACATACGCATACACTATAAACATTATATTTATATAGTTTTATATTTACAGGGAACTAAAAGATTCAGAGAATGTGAGAGTTGATACGAACCAACCTATCCATCTGGACGAATATCGCACACTTTTGAAATCGGATTCGCTGAGAATTTTTCCGATGGAAAGACCAATGCCGAACAGCCGAAACGTCGATAGCTTTTGGCGATGTCCGAACGAATCAACGAATCTTGATTTCTCTCGAATTCGAATTATACTAGGGGATGCAATCAAAACCGGGGGATCGCGACCCCCGGAGGCTTCTTCATTATTCGCGGACATTGAAGCCGGAGAAGCAGCCCTCTCCGCTCGCGTTGGCATTGTTTGCGCAACAATCACGCTAACCGAATTATCCTGATCACATCGGGTGCGCGTTCAAACACGCGCCACCTCCTCAACCCTTTCCCACCTCTCCCCTTCCTCCACTAGCTGTAATTGATTGGATTTTATTTGCACGATCCAATGCTGATATCGATAAAAAATGAGGAATAAAGCATGCTCGACCTCTTTTCGCCCTTCATTCGAGGGCGCTTTCGAAAGGGTGCTTCAATTCGTTTTTGACTCCGCGAGGAGTGACCATAAGGATATATTTATCCTGCCGACGTTAAGTGCTAGAGGCTCGACCGAATGAAAGTAAGTGAAGAAACTGCTTTATTTCCAGCTTTTCAATTTACTTAATTTATCACTAGAATTTCTTAGGTTTTCCTTGCGTTGTGTTTTCGAATTTTAAGATCCCCTAATTCTTCCTATCAAATGGATTTAGGAATATCAGACATGAAGTCTAAGAAGAAGAAATTAAAGAAACTGACGGAAATTGTGAAAAATCGAGTTACAAGAGTCAGACGTAGAAAGAGAAACCAAGGCAAACGGTTTAATATAATCACGCAAGCGTTAAATTACTTTTGTTCGCGTACGACTCTTCATGGTCTTCGATATGTCGTCGATACTGATTTACACATTATCGTGCGATTCCTGTGGCTTATTCTATTCATATTGTCTTCTACAGTGGCTAGCAACGTGATTTACTCGTTGGCACTCAGATTCCAGGTAAATCACATATTTGAGAGGAATGACGATTATTTGTATTATATATAATCTTTCAAAAAAATTCGGTTCGTTAATTATTTCTGATATAGAGGGAGGAAAATATTTGAAGTATAAAAGGTATTAAAGACAATTTTTATCAAAATAAATTGGAATATCGATTCGTTGCGTAAACTGACTTTAGGCTGCGCCAACGTCGATCGGCATCGAATCGATGCATTATGAGACTTCAAATCTACCTTTTCCGAGCGTCACTCTTTGTCCGAATGATCGCGTCGATTGGAACCGAGCCCTCAAGCTGGAACCAAGAATTTTCCGTAATGGCACGGATAAGGAAAGTTTCGACACTTTTCGAGAAATATTGGGCAAACTTTCTGTGATGAGCTTCGGGGATTTCGACGATCTGGATTTTTTGAAGAATCGAAGTCTTCACAGTCTCGCAGGTAGGATATTTTATTCCTTCTTACTTAACTTTTTCACGCAGATATAAACGATAGCAATATCTCCCGATTTTTAATTCCGTCTTTAATGTTTTGTTCAAACGCTAATACCTGGTGATTGATATAAATTTCAATAATGCTTAAATCATGATAAACTCGACTTGTAGCAATATTTTTCGATTTTTTTTTCACTTCTCTAATGTTTTTATTCAGACATTAATATCTTATCTGATTGATACAAATTTCAATACTTAAATCATGATTATCTTTTCGGATTTTAAATGCGTTTTAAACACGCTTTTTTTTTTTTTTAAACTGACAAGTAACCTAACTTTTATCGAGCAGATATCGATGTAACTTATGTGTTGCGCGAGGTAATGCCGCGCTGCGATCAGTTGCTATCCGAATGCTGGTGGCGCAACGAAACTCGCGATTGCTGCGAGATCTTCCAGGTGCAAAAGACCGAATATGGTTTCTGCTACTCGTTCAATTCCGAATTGGCGGAGACACCTCCGACGAATCCTGCGGAGGCGCGACCACGAAAAGCGACGGGCTATGGCGACTGGAGCGGCGTGAAGGTTACGATTCATCTGGGAAATATAACGAAGCCACCAAATTCAGGTAAGGATTGCCAAAGCCGGATCCGATGTAATATTCTACGTGGCAAGGTATAACGATCTATAGGAATAACCGATGCTACCAGGCACACAGCAAAGCAAAAGGATGCTTCGCTGATACTCATTTCACGAGAAAAATGTAATCACCTAGAATAAATTGTTCTGAAAAATTGTAATAGTAGTGATCGAGTGCTGATTCGCCTTCTAGTCACGCCGCTGGCTATTGCCTTCATCCTGGATCATTTTGAAAGATTCAGAGCTTGATCGGCACGAATTGAACGGCTTCTCAGGAAATTTGTTTCAACGGTAAACTCGTTTAAGAGTTAAAAATTCTTTCAATATAATATGAAACTTCCGGTATAATAACATAAATATAGATATGTATTTATGCAAATTTGTAATTTACGATATATGAAAATATGACTGTTTAGTTATTTGATTCAAATTATCAAGAAATATGTGATGCACACATGAGTGACGTAAAAGCGATCGACTGACCTGTGCGTTATATTATGAGGTTGAGCGAAGGTAGAATTATTATGTTGTCATCATAATCATTACACTATACTGATTGGGTTCCTAATAAACATAATTAATAATTAAACTTCGAACAATAAGTTAAATATTTTCATATCTTTACAATATGAACAAGAACATTAAAACATAAAATATTAACAATCCTGGATTTTATGCTTTTAAAAATTTATTTTCCATCATTATCCTTCTAATTCTTTTAATATATTCTAATTTAACATTTTTACGTGAATACATTATGGCGTGTAATTCCAATTTAGATTATTATGTATCGTTTGTTATTGCATTATTTGGACAAAGGGACATAAACGCATTATCTGAATAAACATTTAACATAAATCTAAATCAGAGACGAGGAACGAGTGGAACCAAATAATAGCAAACGAAACGTAAGCTCGGTTAAACTATGTGGCGGATTAATAACTAATATTATTTCTCTCCGTCGCGAGATCTGCCGAATGACGAAGTATACACCAAGTATACGACACATCGTTACTAATCCGCCGTTATACAAACGCGCCGCAGAATCTCGCAAATATGATTTTAATATCCTCGCGAAAGCCGCCGACCGTTAGCCGACGCATTTCGAATAGGACGTGACTCCCATTTCTCCATAATGTTGCTCCTTTATTACCTATGCGGAATGGAAAGGGATTTATCGTAAACTGCAAAATCGATGTATCGGCGCCGTATTGCGCGAGGCAGTTATTGAAATGTCGCTTTCAATGGACTTCACGTGGAACCTGTGCCCGTTCTAAGCCGCTCTGACCGGATCTGGTGCGGACGAAAGAAAAATTTTCACATGGAAGGTTAAAAATTGGATCTCATCGCGAATATCATCAATTTCAATATCTCAATAATCACAATTAATCGCAAGATCGCAATTATCATATTTATCACAGAGCTATATTATGTAATAATATCTGAATATTATGATACAGTGGAAATTAGCGGCGTCATCGTGATAGTAAACGGACCCCATGTCTGGCCCAATAGTGGTACCATGATAGCGACGGGCTCACGGGCTAGTATGGCCTTAGAATGTATTTCTGGATATGCCACTCAACGAGTTCTCGAATTGGATAACGACAAACAACCGTGCCGGTACGACGATATCGGCGTGTACAATCAGGAGACTTGCCTGTCGCTTTGCAAACGTTACTGGGTCGCCAAGTATTGCGACTGCAATCTATCTTTTCTATTCCCCGCAAGTATGGTATTTTGTACTCAACGTTGTTTAACTTTGACAACATATAACAGTTTTATTTATATTTTAGATGATAGTTTTCGCGAGTGCACCATCGAGGATTTCATCTGCCTGATTAATTATAACGGTGAGCAAATTCTCATAATTCGAATATCTTGGTTGCATATCTCGCGAATGTATTTTCAATATAATTACTTTGTAATAAATATAACATTTAATTTTAACGAAACGTTAAAACGATGACGCAAGATTTGTTCAACGACTACATGGTGACGACTACCCACCTTGGTGACGAGTACCCACACGACATTCCTAGCATGTTTTGCAACTGCTTGCCGGAATGCGACTACCACGTCTGTGGTACCCAGTTTTCTAACGTGCCTCTACATAACATGAATGACGTTACGTTGGACGTGCATTACATAAGACAAACTAGTTTCCGCTATAAAACAGACATAGTTATCACACAAATGGACCTTCTCGGTAAGTTTTTTGCATTTTTTTTAAATATTACACATTTGTTACACATACGCGTCATATTTCTCCCTTGTCGAAAATCTCTCGCAGTATGAAAGACGACAAATTATTTCTGTCCTTTGTTTAACATTCTTCATTTTTTGAAGAATATATCAGATTATACGTAATAATAATAACTTTAGAATAATAACTTGATTTCCAAAACGGAAATAAAAAAATTTACAGAGATGAAATGAGAGAACCGGAAACGGAAAAAAAACATTCGTGAAATGTGCTGCTTTATTCAAATTTACTTTCGAGGTTTGCGGAGAACTTTAATTTGCGGCGCCTTAATTATTTCCCTATCTCTATTAGCCGCTCCACGACGGTATCCCCATGTATAACGAGTCCCGTGAGACGCCAAGTTATGAATTCATGGTACTCTCATGTTTCTTGTTCAAAATGTTTATAAAGTCTATCCGCAAATTGTTTATGACCGTCCAGAATATTATTCATGATTTTATCATAAGAAAATATAAAGTGTTTAGCCCTGTTAGTTGTATGCAAATGTAAAATTCCATCCAGCTTGCGCATTATAACGCCATATTGTGAAAATTAAAGTTAACACGTAAATCACTATTAGAACGACCGTCTCGATTTTGCTGAAACCCGCATGATACGCGTTGACGCGCTCCGCCATCATCATCAAATGTTTTGCCATAATCAGCATATTAATAACTCGATCGTGAATGATTTGCATATTTCCTTGCAGTATCTTTCGGCGGTATAATCGGGTTATTCCTGGGTGGTTCGTTGCTCAGCGCCGTCGAGCTAGTCTATTACCTGTTCGTGGCGATGTTTTCGTCTCTGCGCTTGCGATGTAGAATTAAAGAAGAGCCGAGGATACGATCGAGCGCGACGCTCGTCCACACGGTGCTGCCGATCCTGGATTATAGCCCTCTGAAGCCGCGGGCGCGGAAGATACCGATTTTCGCGCCCGCGAATTACGGCCTCCCAGAATCGAATTCGAACAGATATTGAATTACCGTGAAATCTTTCGACGGGTGGGCCGTTTAGAGGGCCTCTATTACAGCCACACCACCGCGAAATTTGAGATGATAAAATAAGAGGGGGTTCATCTATATACTCTCTCTTCAAATCGATATTCACGGACGTGCAACGTGTATATGTATACGCGGGCGCACACATACGCCTGCGTATATTCTACTAATGGAATTCCACGCTTTCCGAAGTCGGGAGACAAAATTTTGAAACAAGAACTAGATAGTACCATTCTGAATCGCCTGCGTGAATCGAGAGTACTGTCTGTTGGAATAAACGGATCCCATCCCGTTTTTCATAGACATGTTGGTTATTGTGTTTTATCGTGAGGCTGTCCCCATAAATCAGGAAGTAGCTGCGATATAGATCGGATTTGACAAGGAAATCGAGAATGCCTTGCTCACGCGAAAATCTGGTATCTACTTTCTAGAATCCGTATTTGTGCACAAACGTGTGCGTCTATGTATATGTGTGTGTATGAGAGAGAGAGAGAGAGAGAGAGAGAGAGAGAGAGAGAGAGAGCGACACT